AATTACATTCACATATGGGTTAGGTAATACCCACTCTTTGTTCAGATTGCAATAAACAAACAAACAACTGATGTCAGATGCTGGTGACTCATGCCTATAATCCTAACTACTAAGTAGCATGAGACCTGAGGAATATGGTTTGAAGTCAACCCAGGAAGGAAAATCTGAAGGCCAGAAGTAGAGCTGTGGCTCAAATGGGAAAATGCCAAGACCTTAGGGATAGCATTCAGGCCTTTAAGTTCAAGCCCTAGGAAAAGCAGAAGGAGAGAGGGGGGGGGGGGGGGGGGGGAGGGAGGGAGAGGGAGAAGAAGGGGGGGGCAGATAGGCAGAGACAGAAAGGGGGAGGGGGGGAAGGAGGAAGGGTGAGTAGATTGAAATTTGTTCAGAATTCTATATAACTAGACTTCCAAAAGAGCTTTTGAAAGTTAGAGGTCTGGAGTTGGAATCTGATGATAAAGCGCCTGCCTACATACTCTAAGACTAAAGTTGGGAAAAGAGGTCAGTTGTTGGTAGCTGATACCTATAATCCTAACTATTTAGGAAGCTGAGGTCTGAGGATCACAGCTCAAAGGCAGCTCAACAGGAAAGACAATGAGATTCTTATCTCCAATTAGCCATCAAAAAGCCAGTAGTGGAGCTGTGGCTTATGTGGGGGAAGGCTAGTCTTGAACAAAAAGAAATCTCAAGAGACAGTGTCCATCCTGTGTTCAAACCCCTGGACTGGCGTATGTTTATGTGTGTGTATGTGTGTGTGTGTACACATACATATAAAGTGTGAGGCCCTGAGTTCAAGACCTAGTACCAGCAAGGAAAAACCAGTTGGGAAAGGGAACAGGAGAGAAGGGGAAAAGAGCAGGAAAGGCGAGCTGGGGAGCCCCCACCCCTGGGGGATGCACCCTGAAAGGAGCAGTTCGCATTTCCAGGAAACCTGGTATCTCACAGCCACCCGCAGCCTGCACAGTGAAGCTCTTCTGCCAGTTATAACGCACTCACAACTGTGGCTCCCTCACACCAGGCCTTCTGCGTTCTTCATACCCTACATGCATCAAATCTTAAGTTGGGCCGCCTGAAGCCCAGCTCACTCAGCCTAGGGAAGGCTGGGCAGAAGGCAGTCAGCAGGCTCCAGCACCAACTGCCCCTCCCTTGTCCCCCCTCCTATCCCCCATGAGGGCACAATCAGGGCTGAGACCTCAGGAGTCCCCCTTGGTCCTCCAGGGTGTGAGGAGTCGGCAGGAACACACTCTCGATCCCCGCCGAGGCCATCTGCACTCAATTATAAGCCCTTTGGAACCAGCAGAGGGCTGTTTTGCCCGCCCGTCGCGGTTTCCCTATCATTAGCTTGTTCTTGTTGTTTGAATATGGCACACAGTGCAGCCAGCTGCGAACAGCGTTCACAATTCAAAGCTTTCTTTCCTTCCAAAAAGAAAAGTGTGGAAAGAAAATAAAGTCTTACTTCTGAATACTTCTATCTCTTCCCCAGATCAGGACCATTCTTTAGTCTGGGGTGTGTGTGTGTGTGTGTGTGTGTGTGTGTGTGTGTGTGTGTGTGTGTGTGTGTGTGTGTGTGTGTGTGTGTGTGTGTGTGTGTGTGTGTGTGTGTGTGTGTGTGTGTGTGTGTGTGTGTGTGTGTGTGTGTGTGTGTGTGTGTGTGTGTGTGTGTGTGTGTGTGTGTGTGTGTGTGTGTGTGTGTGTATGTATGTCTGTATGTGCGTGCGTGCGTGTGTGTAACTCTGAAGGCACTGCTTGCTGTATGTACTTCAGCCTTACAGGACATACGACGTAAGCCAGGCATCGTGGTACACACCTGTAATCAAGCAATCAGGAGATTAAGGCAAGAGGATTGTGGGCTGGAGTACAGCCTGGATGGTATAGTGAGAACCTGTCTCATAAAACAAAAATAGCAAGATGGCATATCATTCCAGTCCTATATTACTATCATGCATTACTACTCATGGTCCTGTGGCCTCTCCTCACATTCTTAGTGGGTGTAAGGATACCATATGTGAAGCATCATTTCAATGAAATCATTGCAGAGACAACTTCCAGTCCACTTGGGAGCAGAACTGATGCGGAAGCATCTTCTTTCCAGGTGCTGAGCCAGGAACAGAGCAAGATGACTACTTGATTCACAATTGCATCCTGTATGCTCTGCAGGCTAGTAGCAGTTTGCCATGTGTGGACTTGAAATCCAGGCGCACATATGTGTACAGAGCCAGAGGAACTGAAGGCCTAGAAGCCTTGTGAACTGTGATCATTATTGTCAGATGAGCTACCATTCACAGAGAAAAAAAATCTGAAACAAGAAGCTGAGTGCAATCATGGTTCCTTTGCCCCCTATTTCTCAAACTTATTTAGGCAAACTCACATCTTTTTTCATAATGTAGACTGCATGATAAACAGCAGCACAAAGATGCCAATAGCCACAGGGCACATTTAAGGTTGGTGTGGGGGGGGGGGGGGTGTGCATATATGCATTACTGGGTTTTAATTCAGGGCCCTGTACTAGCTTGTCAGGCAAGCACTCTACCATTTAAGGCATGCCTCCAGGCCTTTTGCTTTATCATTCAGATAGGGTCTCACACTTTTGCCTGGGACATGCTTAGATTTCCATCTCCTACCTATGTTTCCTACATAACTGGGATTACTGATGTGTGCCAACCTAGCCTAGAAAGTTCTTACTAGCATGGGTTTGGCTGGCTTATATTTATCATTTAAATCTTTTAAAATTTAAGATTCTATCTATGGAATGTTGAGAAAAGAGAAAGAAATACCAATGCTTAAATATTTTGTTAAGTGATGTTAAAACTCAACAGTTATCACTTTTTTCTTACAAGCAATTTTAAGCATATCCAAGTATAAAAAATACATACCGACTCTGGGTTATTTCACTGAAGATAAGGGAACCACTGTCTAAGAAGTTGTAAATTAGGAAAGAATAAAATTAGAAGGCCCCCTAGTTTTAGACTGTAGCTGAAGGTACTAGCGTGACTTCAAGTTTTCCAGTATGTAGATTCAGAAATAAACTCAGATGTTAACAAATGCAGACACTTGTGTGCCTGTGCAAATATTCCCAAGCTCTGATAACTGGGCCAGGTGAGTGGCACCACTACAGTAAGCATAACTGGCATTCAAATTTAGATTTCCAAATAATTTCTCACTAAAAGAGGGTAGGTCTGCCAGGGTTGGCAGCACATATCTGTAATTCCAGCACTTAGAAAGCAAAGGTATCATGAAGGTATCAAGTCATGAAGTATCATGACTTCAAGGCCAGCTTGAGCTATATAGTGAGATCCTATCTCAAAAAACAAGCTAGTGTCTTAGCTTCTTAGGAGACTGAGATCTGAGGCTAGTGATTTGAAGCCAGTCTAGGAAGCAAAGTCTGTGAGACTATTATCTCCAATTAACCACCAAAAAGCTGGAAATAGAGCTGTGGCTCAAGTGGTAGAACACTAGCATTTTTAAGCTAAAACACTCAGGACAGTGCCCAGGCCCTGAGTTCAAGCCCCAGGACTGGCACAAAAAAAGAGAGCTGGGGCTGTAGCTCAGTGGTAGAATACTTGCCTAGCATGCGCAAAGCCCTAGGGGGAAGGGGAACACAGGGCTGGCGTGGAGAAAAAGAGCAGGTCTTTTTGTCAGAAAATACAGCAATGCCCAAGTAAAAGGGTGCCACCTTTAGAGGACACACAATCCAGCTTTGAATGTTTCCACTGGCAATATCAGATACCAAGTAAACACCAAGGCTAGGCCTGGCAAATGCAACGGACACACAATCCAGCTTTGAGTGTTTCCACTGGTAATATCAGATACCAAGTAAACACCAAGGCTAAGCCTGGCAAGTGCAACGCCCTGAGTTCAAATCCCAGTGCCACCAAAAATAATAAATAAAAATAACAGCAACAGACTGTAACCAATTAAATAAAGAAGAAGCTATATCCACCCTGAATAAATACATGGTAGCTCTACAGGAAATGTCTGCCAAACGCCATGTTTGACCAATCATTGTTACGTGTCAGTGATGGGGCAAATGATGGGGTGTGGTGCTGTGAGGATCCTCAGGGCTTCTGTGCTGCTCCTGCCAGAGACGTGTCACCCCACCTAAGCCTATCCAAACGTCAGCCCTGCAAATGTCAAGGTCAAGAAAACTAAGAACAAATGAGGTTCTATTTCAGAATGAAGGACACTAGACCAAACAAGTAGAGGCGGTGGAAACTGAACTGCACCCTCCAGCCAGCAAGGATATGACTGGCCCATCTGGCAAAACCTCAATGGCTTTGTTATAGGCAGCCACAATATATTAGGGATAATTTCCTTGTGTGTATGGTAGTTTTGTGGTTACACAGGATCTGGTTCTTTGTTTGGAGAAGTATACACAGGAAGAATAACCTGGGTGGGATCAGGGGCAGTGACTAGTGCCTACCGTAACCCTGGCTACTCACACAGTTACTGAGACTCTGACAACAAAACAGGCTAGGCATACTGTGCATGCCTGTCATCTCAGTGAGGCATATGTAGGAGAAATGGATCCAAGGTTGGGCAAGAATTATACCCTATGCAAAAAAAAGGCTAAGGCTTAATGATGAGAGAGCCTGCCCAGCAAGTTCAAAGCACTAAGTTCAAACCCCAGCAAAGACAGTCTGGGAATAACAGGCCAACTGGGCCGACAGCCTACTCACTCAAACAGTTCAGGTTAGCTATCTGTAACGTTAAAAAATCCATTTGAAAACACTTCAATGTTGGTGATTGTGGCTCACATCTGTAATCCTAGCTACTCTGGATGCCGTGTTGTTACTTTATATATTTGAACTAAATTAAATATTTTAATCAGTTTCTTAAAAGATCAGTGAATGAATGTACTTTTCTAGGTTGAATTAAAGTGAATATTTATATAAGATTTTTTTTTTTAAAGTTTGGCTGGGGAAAAATAGCAGTTTTCCACAATCTGCCATCGAAAACGAAGATGACACACAGCAATGAGAAAGTGTTCCAATTTCTCACCAAGATTCACAAGCTGTGACGTGGATGCTTTACTTTCAAGAAAGTGCCAAAACAAACAGGCAGATCTGAAAGAATTTTCCAAGTGAAATAAATTAGAAGCAAAATCATAATTAGAAAAAAAAAAAAAAGTAGAAGTTAGGGACTCTGAATGCTGAGATTGAACAAAGTTTGGTTGACAGTGAAGTTCCCAGGGACGCGATCTGAAAACACACAAGCATCAGGTAACAGGCCACGACAGAGAGCTCATCCCTGTGGCCATCCTTCCTGAGGGAGGAATCCTCAGAGATGGCCCAGGGGCACAAGGCCAATGCGTCCCACTCAATACCTCATCCAGTCGACAAACTCTCATTTTTCTCCAGTAATAAAGAGGTGGACGTTCTTCTGGGACTGCAGCATCTGGGCTGCCCGCTCCACACCGACCACAGCTGCTAATCTCTGCGCATCGTACTTGGAGTAGAGGACAGTACAGGTCCACGTGGCCTCCTCTCCTCTGTTGGTGGCTCTCAGCATGTTACAGATTTCGCTGTAGAAGTGAGGATATGTTGGCAGTTCGTAGAATATCAGGTTCCTGATGCCTTTTATGGTATACCTGTCAGAATGGAACAGAGATAGGCTATGTTTACCTGAGGAACAAGTCCCTGAAAAGCTACCCAAGATTTTTACAGGACCAGAGTTCACGCTCATAGTCATGCCACAAGAGGAAAATAACATAATACACATCACACAAAGCAAAGGCTATCCTAATTAGAGCCAGAGGGTTTATACATACTTGAATTCCTAATGCTTGGCCAAAGATAATGAGAAAAGCTCACACCTGTAATCCTGGCTACTCAGGAGGCTGAGATGTGAGGCTCCTGGTTCAGAGACAACCAAGTCAGAAAAGTCTGCAAGACTCTCATTTCCAATGAGACTTAGAAGTATGGCTCAAGTGGTAAGAGGGTCAGCAATGAGTGAAAAAAAGTTAAGAGAGAGCACGAAGTCCTGAGTTCAAGCTCCAGTACTGGTTGGAAGGCAGGTACACAAGCACACAGGTGCACACACGCACACCAAAATTAATGATAAAATAAGCACATGTATATTTCTCAAACCTACTCTGCAAAGGCTGAGTAAAGAAGAAGGTAGCAGACAAAGATTAAAATCCTGACACAGGAAACTGGGCACTTACAACTTAATTTCATTATCAGCATCATCAGGCTTTGAGATAGAATGTTCCGTAATGGGAGATGAGGTCAGACCCAGTACATAAAACAAACAGCACAAATTGTTAAATGTACTCCCATTAGTCTTTTCTTGTCACTGTGCAGAAATGTTAACTCAGTGGCAGATGTCTCAAGTTCATCAAGATCCTGCCTGAGGTCCCATTAGGCATCAGGAGGAAGCAATTAAGTTTCCACAGCTTTCTGCACCTCCACCTCCTTCCCGGCTGTAGTGAGGTATGGGGGGTGGGGACCCTAGGGACTCACCGCATGGCTGCAGTCAAGGTCAGACGTTCCCTCAGGGACTTCGAAACAAAAGATCCTATCGATAAGGTTCTGATCTTTTTTCTAGGAAAGTCAGTCTTTCCTACACCATCAGTGTTACCCTCTCAGGGAATTCCATTTCATTCAAAGGTTAACTTTTTCTTGTCTTTTTATCTCCTGGCTCATCCAGATCTCCCTGGAGAACATCATCTTTCAAACTGCCATTGCAATTCACTCTATTGTTTACCTTTCCACACTGCCTTTCCATAAAGAAGGAATTCTATGCATGGAGACAGTCCTACTCTACTAGCTTTCACAACAAACACTGAGGCCAAATATGTACAAAACTGGAGAATAACACTCCATGGCCAGCCGCAGTGACAAACACCAGTAATCTCAGCACTAGGAGGCTGAGACAGGAGGATCATGAGTGTGAGGCCAGCCTGGGCTACCTAGTGACACCCTGTCTCAAATAAGCAAAAGAAGAGAACACAATACTGCATCATCACAGGCAAGCACCCCTACCCACTGTCGCCGGCATCGCAGGCATGCACCATTATTGCATCCAGCTTCCTTCACTAAAGACAGTGTCACAGACTCTTCTACCTGAGTTGGCTAGGCACTGTGATCCTCCCAATCAACCTCCCAGTCTCAGCTCTCTATATACTTTGGGATGATAGGCATGTACCACCGTGCCCAGCCTGGCTATGGATTGAGAGTGGGTCTTGCCAAGTTTTCTTTCCAGGCTGGCCTTGAACCTCAGTCTTTCAGTTTTCAGCCTCCAAGGTAGCATGAGCCATTGGTATTTGCCTTAATCTTTATGTTCAATTTAATCCACACTCATAGTTCCCAAACTGATGCATGCTAAAACTGTTGAATCATTTTTCAGTATTTATTTGTAGCCACCATCCCTAGATATGGTAACCTAATTGAAACTGAGACATGACCTGGGTTTTGGATAAAAGCTCCTCAGGGTGTTGTGTATAGTGGCTCACACATGGAACCCCAGCTACTGAGGAGACAAAAGTTTGGGAGGACTGTGGTTCAAGGCCAGCCAGGGCAAAAAGTTAGCAATACCTCATTTCAATCCATTAAAAAAAAGTGGATGTGGTCCTAATAGCTACACAAGAAACAAACATAGGAGGATCAAGATATTCCTTGCTGACCAAAATGTAAGACCCTATTTCAAAATAACTAAAACAAAAAAGGCTAGAGGCATGGTTCAAGTGGTAGAACACCTGCCTAACAAGCTCAAAGTACTAAATTCAATCCCTACTTTCACCAACACAGAAAACAAAAAACTAGATAAACCCAAGTTGTGAACCATTCTACAGAAAACTAGACTGGACCCTGGATTACTCTAGATCAGTTTCTTGACTTCAAAACATGGACACTTTGGTGTGAGGCTGTCTGTCTTGAATACTGTCAGGGTCTAATGGTGTCTGTGGATCCAACTCATTACAGCAGCCACCAGAATAAACCTCAAGCTGTGACAATCCCAAATGTCTCCAGATAATGCCAAATGTCCTGCAGAGCAAACTGTCCTGGCTGAAACTGAGCTAGACTTCAACAGCAAAGAAATAAGTGGACCAGGCACAACAAATGATCCTTAACTGGATTCTAGATTAAGGGGAAAGCTGTATTTGGGAGACGGCTAGAATAATTCAAATACATACCATGTATAGAGGAGTCTGGTAGTAGCGAGTGGTGATTACCTAAGTTGTTGTTTTCAGAAGCTAAGATGCTGAAATATTCAGGGGTGAGGTGTCTTGAAATTTCCAATGTAACATTTTTTTGTCTGCCTGTGCTAGTAGTGGAGCTTGAACTTGGGGGCTAGGTGCTCTCCCTTAGCTTTTCTTTGCTCAAGGCTAGTGCTCTCCCTTTTGAGCCAATGTGCCATGTCTGGTTTTTTGGTGGTTAATTGGACATGAGTCCCAGGGACTTTCCTGCTTGAGCTGGCTTCAAACCACCACCCTCAGATCTCAGCTTCCTGGGTAACTAGGATTATAGGTGTGAGCCACTGTGCCCAGCAACAACTTGTGTTATTTTAATATGGGTTTGAACTCAGGGCACTTTTTAAGTAGGTACTCTTAACAATTTGAGCCATGTCCTAGCTCATTATTTGCTTTATTTTTCGAGTAAGGTCACAAATTTTTGTCTGGAACTGGTCTCAAACGGCACTCCTCTTGCATGGCTGGGATGGCATGTGTGTACCACCTTACCTGACTTACTGAGATCTAGCTAACTTTTTGCCAGGACTGGAGACTAATCTCTGATCTCCATCTCCAGAGTAGCTGAGATTAAGGAAATGAGCCACCTTGCCCAGCCAGAATTTCTTTTTCAAGTAGCACATAAACATTTGACATAAGATATAAAGTGGGGGAAAAAGCTCAACCCTAGCTATCTGGGAAGCAGAGATAAGAGATCCCTATTTGAGGCCAGCCTAGGCAAAAACACAATCAAGATGAGCATAACGGTTCATACTTGTTATCCCAGCTGGGAGGGCTGAGAAGAAGGAACTTCATGGTCTGAGGCTAACCTAGACATAAAAATACTTTTACCTTCAGCAAAAGACCTGAAAGTATGGCTGAAGTGGTAGTCTTGCCTAGTAAATACAAGACCCTCAGTTCAATCCCCAGACCCAGATACACATGTATGCATGCACATACACACATACCAATTTTGGCGGGTTTTTTTTTTTTTTTGGGGGGGGGGGGTCAGTTGTGGGGCTTGAACTCTAGGTCTGGGCACTGTCCCTCAGCTCTTCAGCTCAAGACTAACACTCTACCTCTTGAGCCACAGCACCACATCTGGCCTTTTCTGCTTATGTGGTGCTGAGGAATCGAACCCAGGGCCTCATGCATGGGAGGCAAGCACTCTAGCACTGAGCCACCTTCCCAGCTGGTGTGTTGTTTTTTTTTTTTTGGGGGGGGGGGGTCTGGTCATGGGGCCTGAATTCTGGGCCTGGGCGCTGTCCCTCAGCTCTTCAGCTCAAGGCTAGCGCTCTACCACTTGAGCCACAGCGCCACTTCCAGCTTTTTTCTTTTTGCTTATGTGGTGCTGAGGAATCAAACCCAGGGTCTCAGGCATGCAAGGCAAGCGCTCTATCACTGAGCCACCTTCCCAGCTGGTGTTTTTTTTTTTTGATTCATGGAAATTTGTGTCTACATGCACATGAATGTACACGTATTTTTCACATAGGAAAAAGACAACAAAGAATATTTACTCTGGGCAGTGAGATTACATTTTCCTCTTTTTAACCTGCATTTTTCCAAATTCTCCACCATTATTATGCACTACCTTATAGTCAGTAAAAATAAAATAAGACCATTACACTTTCTACTAAGAAAGGAAGTTAAAAGAAAGAAAAGGAAAGGAGAGATGGAAAAGGAAAAGAAGAGAAGGAGGGGGACAGAGAGAGGGAGAGGGAAAGAGAGAGGGAGAGGGAAAGAAGAAGAGGGGTGAGAGGAAGAAGGGAAGGGGAGGAGGGAAAAGAACACAAATAAGCAATCTAGACCTTCAGTTCCCGATTTGGCCATAATGGAAACTAGGTATCTTCAGGAAAGAGACTAGGACTAAGGCCTGTTGGGGGGGGGGGGGGGGGGTTGGGCAGCCAGTGCTGATTCTATCTTGAGTCTCCTTCCCCTGCATTCCTTCCATCTGTCTTCCTCCTCTTTCATAGATGCTTCACGACTCCAGTGACCCTTCATCACAGATATAACCACCCCTGCGACAAAACCTAAAACTAAAGACCATATGGAAATCTGAAGCGGTGCTTCATTCATTTGCAGCAAAAGAAATCCTCAGTGCTGGCAATACAGCTCAGGTGGTGAAGTGTCTACCTAGCAAGTGCAAGGTTCTAAGTTCAAATCCCAATACTATGTGGGGGAGGGGAAAGTTGTTTAAAAAGAAAACAAACAGGAAAACACCCATTAACTTGGTCCAGGGAATAAGGAAAAGCAAATGACATGCTCAGATTTGTCTTTATAGAGTAACTTTGAGGACAATATGATTTGTAAATAAACAGTGTAAGATAGGAGACTGTCTTGTCTTCAAAGGCTCCTTTGACAACAAGGTCTCTCTTTACAAAACTGCTGAAATATTTTAGAGCAATTCTCAGTCCAGCTTAATTCACACTTCCTACAGATAATCACACTGGGAAGTTCTCCAACCCATTCATGTCATTCCAAGGGCTTGCTTTCAGTTGTCAAGCTAATGGCTAAAAGCCAAGGGCTTTTAACTATCCCCTAAAATTCAGATACGACAACTTACTAGAACTAAGCAAATAATGATGCATGGCAGTCATTAGGACTCTTGGTCCAAACAGCCTGGTTTGCCAAGGATAGAACTGGTGAGACATAAATTGAGTCCTTTCTCAACTTTCCATTCACATGAGCTGGTGAGCAGAATATCTAAGGAGGTAAGGTCATGCCAGCCCTCCTGTGTCCAAACAAGCTGCTGCGACTCATCCTCCATCTTCTTGGAAAACTGAACATGGCTGCAGAGCACTATTTCACTATCAGAGCAAACAAAAACACCGAGGCACATAATCTAATAGAAGACTTCTAACTAGGTGCATGGGAGTCTCAGAGAAAATGCACTCCTCATTTGTAGTTAAACTGTAACTTGAGAAGTTAAATTCACCTGCTATCTTTTTGAAATCAGGAAGGAAGAAAAAAAAAAGAATGCAGTTTTTATCTTGATAGGTAAAGGTAGAAAAACCACTTTTTCTACTTGGTAACAGAAAAAGCCTTTGAAAAACAATAAATACAGCTCTGGGGCCAGGAAGGCTCCAAGTTTTCTCAACAGTAAGAAAGCTAGTATCTCTAGCCAGCTACTAGGAATTAAGAAAAAACAATTAACAAAAAGCCCAATCAACGTATCTGGTCAAAGTCTATGGGTGGGGAATCTTCATTACACAACTCTGAACATTCCTTTCCTCGGTCAACCAGAGGAGACCCAGAGTCCTGGCTCCCAATAAGGTCACCGGTGCACACCACTCAGAACCACTGCCACTTTCTGAACCCTGGCGCTGGACTGCCCAGACTACACATGCCTGTGTCTATGCTTGGATCAGGTCCTCCCCGACATACATTTTGTCACATCTACTGGGGCATAGCCACACTCCACATCTATTCACAGGTTATGCTTTGCCTTCTAGAATATTCTCAACAGCCGGGTGCTGGTGGCTCATGCCTGTAATCCTAGCTACTCAGGAGACTGACATCTGAGGGTTGTGGTTCAAAGCCAGCCAGTGCAGCAAAGTCCATGAGAGTATTATCTCCAGAAAACTGGAAGTGGTGCTGTGGCTCAAGTGGTAGAGTGCTAGCTTTGAGCTGAAGAGCTGAGGGACAGTGCCCAGGCCCAGAGTTCAAACCCCTGACTGACAGAAAAAGAAAAAGAAAAAAAAAGAATATTCTCAACAAAGTCTATCTGAGAAGGAAATCACCAGCCAACCCAAGATACTCGCTGGGCATTGAGAAGAGTCTGTGCAGCCCTAACCCCCCTGTCTTCTCTGCCAGAGTAGCAGAGGATGTCAGGATGACAGCACACCACACAACTTTCCTGGGTGAAGAAGCAGGCTGTGACTTGCACTGCTTTGCCCCTTCAGAGAGAAGGCCAGAGCCAGGCACTATTTTACCTTTTGTAGAAATGAAAGCGTTCTGTCAGGAGTAGGAACTGCTTTTCTCCTTGAAGAAAGAAATGTCTGGCCCTGGAGACACCAGACTTCTGGGTGTATTCGCAGATGTGGGTGAAGTTCAGTTCCTCCTTCTTGAAGTAATTCCGGAGACGCACAAAGTCAAAGTAGGAAGGGACATAGATGAGTGTGTGGGACATGACGGCGTCTCGGTACTGAGGCAAAATCTTACTTATGAAAAAGTTAAACCTGATTGAAAAGGCAAAGGACAGAGGTAATGATTTAGAGCAGAGTCTACAGTGTCCACTAAGTGGACAAAATCACATTAAGAGATTACCTCCACTGAGATTAGTGTGACTTACCTCCTTTCACGGAGATTATGTAGTGATAAGACTTGGTAAGTACATTAAAAAATTAACTGACAATACTATTCACTATAAAAAAAATAATGGATACAATGCCATTGTATCCGAATAACTATTCTAGGAAGCATACTGATCATTTAGTCACTCAATTACTAATCCTGGAACATCTACCATTTGCTAAGAACTGTTAGGCTACCATCCTCTAAACACAATGAGGAAAGAATGGAAATAAATACAGAATTAGAACATTAGTTCTGCCTAAAGAGCATATAATTAAGCTACTGATATGGACCATTCTGTGGCACAGAGTGATTCAATTTGATATAAAGGAGGAGCCCTGACTGATCGTGCCAACCCTGTCACAAGGCAGCCACAAGAGCCAGGCCACATCACCACCTCTCTGGGCTTCCTAGGTCAAACAGCATGGCTGATTTCAATTACCTTATCTCATTTGGTAAACATAAATGAATCAAAGCGACTTCGAACACCAAAGCAAAAGCTCCTTAAAGACCCCCAAAGGGCCCAATGGGAGGTCGGTCACCTGGCATCAATCACTGAAGCGAGGTTTTCAGTTTCCATCCTCTGGAAGACATGGGGAAGCTGCACCAGCACATGGCTGATGGAGCCTGTCATCGGGACGTTCCTCACTGCCACCTGCCAAGAGTCCACAAGAACTTCAGGAGGCAAGCCACCCCATTGTGTCCTTTTCACTCCCAGGCATCCACCAACACTTCAGGAAGATCCAGAGGACATTGGAGGGAACCCACCTGGCCTTGTAAATTGATGCAGTGCTTGCTGAACAGTGAGTTGACCTGGGCATCCTGCAAGGCCCCAAACAGCAGTGTCTGACGATAGTATTTAGACCAATTATTGAGGCTCCACATTCGCACCCGAGAAAAGTCTACGCCATGGGAGTCCAAGGGCAGTAGGTTCATGTGATTCATCAGATGCTTGGAGTAAAAATAATACCTCGGTTAATGTGTATAGAGCATTTATGTGCTGGGAACCACTAAGCATGTTATAAGACTCTGTCATCTGTTAACTCCATGGAGCTTGTACTAACATCTCCCAAATTATAGCAAAAAAACTGAGCTCAGATGGGCGACTGACTTGCCTACCGTAAGAGGAATACTCAAACAAGAAGCTGAAATTGGCCAGTTCCTAGACCTTTACAAAACAACAGAACACCACCAACTGGAATATTCCTGTTATAAGGAATTTCTAAAATGCTACCCTGGCCACTTGATAGGCTCCTCAGCTATAGACTTGGACAGGAAAGAAACAAGATGGAAAACAGAGCTCTCTCTCAATGACCTGGTTCTCAAGAGCTCAGAACAACTAATCCACCTTTCCTCAAATGAAGGAATATCACAATTATCAATGTGACTTTTAATTTACATTTTCATCAGGTAATATACACTGGAGGGTACTGAGCATTCAGTTTATTCCTTATTTTATTCCCTTCAAATATCCCAACTTTCTTCAAGCTCTAGGTCCTGCTTGGGCATATATACAAAGGAAAGTAAATCAATATACAAGACAGATAGCTGCATAACCCTGTTATTGCAGCTCCGTTTATGACTGATCTGTGAAATCTGCCAAAGTGCTCAACTACCAATGAATAAAGAAAACTATGCACACATACATCATGGATTACCCAACCATAAAGAAAAACGAAATTACATCATTTGCAAGAAAATGGAACAATCTAGAAAACATTGAGTGAGATAAGCCAAATACCTCAAATATCTCATATTCTACTTCATTTGTAGAATTAAGATTTAAAATGATGATAATAACTTTAATAGAAATACAACACGATATACAAGTGCAACCCACTGTCTGGAAGAGATCGGGGGAACAAAGAGGGGGAAAGGATGGGATGCTGAGGGATGAAGAGAATCTAAGGATGTAACATATATACGTATGTGTGCATATATACATATATGTATCATAATGAACACATACATGTATCATAATGAAACCCACCAAATGGTGTTATAAAAAGAGAAGAGAGGAATGGGAATATGGTGGAGAGTGTGAATTTGTTCAAATATTGTGTGCATATATGGAATTCTCCCAATGAAACCCCCTCATAAATGTTAACTCAAAAAAATTAAACTTAAAAAAATGACAATAAGTGAATGGAAAAGAAAAAAAGGCAACTGCAGATCTTAGAGTACAGTAGAGGTGAATTCCCATCTACTTTAAAAAAATAATCCTTGTTCTATGGTCAGGAAATTTCAAGGAAGAGTATGTGGAGAATGAGCCAAACCTACAGCACACATATGCCAGGAGGATAAAGACTGCTAAAAATCAAGATGGCACTCTTAAAACTTTTTAAGCCATCAGAAGAGAATTAGTATAGATTAGATAATGAATTAATAGGTAAAGATGCTTCTTTAGAGGATTTTTCTTCTTGCATCTCTCCTCTCTTGGCGAAGAAAGACTTTTAAGGAAGAAATCTTTTTAAAATCTGGAAGCACTGACAAGAAGTTTTTCATTTCTCCATAGAGAAATTGACTAAGCAATGATTCCTTCTACTGTGGGCAGAAAAGAAAACAAAAATCAGGAAATGGTGGAGTATCTCTGTTTCCAAATTGAGTTGTATTCTGGACTTAATCCTTATAGACTGAAACCTCTGAATTCCTCATCACTCTACATAAAGATAATATTCCTCTGGGCTGGGGGTGTGTGAATTCTAGGTTGCCCACAACTCTAGAGGTAGAATGCCAGCCTAATAAGCAGAAAGCCTTTAGTTCAAAAATCCCAGTATCACTACAATAAAAACAAAACAACAAAAATTAGTGTCCCTCTAAATGTGAAAGACCCGCATTACCAGGACATGCTCCCAGTTCTGCATCAGGTAAATGTCAGCTTGATCAATGATGAGAAGCTCAATAGATGACAAAAAGTCAAAATCTCTTTTCTTCTCTCCTTCTCCACCAATGATGGTCCTTAAGCCAAGAGGGGAAGCAATGAGGATGTCAGAGGAGTAAAAAGGGGCATAGAGTCGGATGCTTCTCTGAAGAATTGCCACACCTAGAGAAAACACCAAGGACTTAATCACCTCATTAGTCACCAGGAGGCCAGAACCTTCTCTCCTCTTAGCCTCCCACACTGGTGTTCCCCTTACATACAGCTGTGCTCAAAGCGCTTTAATACTAGTAACAACGATCTTTCCTTTGTATCCCTAGCTTCTCCAAACTCCTACTTTCTCTTGTATTCCTTCAAGTCAACATCTCCAGAGAATTTTCTCTATAGTCAAGCTTTTCATTCACTTTTCAGTCCATTGCTATGTGGTCTAAATGTCATGACTCCATTGAAATGACCTTCGCTAAGGTCACCACTAGCCCTCAGTTACCAATTTGATGGGCACTTTTTTTCAAGCAGTGTCAAGAATGCAGCTACATCTTAAACACACCTGTTCTGAAATGCTCTTTCTTGATAATGGCCTCCAGGACTTCCACACTTACTGTTAATCACTGACCTGATCCTTATCTATCATTCAAGATCCAAATACTTCTTTTATATAGACATAGTTTTCTCTCTCTCTCTCTTTCGCTGGTCCTGTAGCTTGAACTCAGGGCTTGGGCGCTATCCTGGAGCTTCTGTGCTCAAGGCTAGCACTCTACCACTTCAGCCACAGTGCCACTTCTGGCTTTTTTAAGTACTTTATTGTAGATAAGGGTCTTTTCTTTCCAGGCTGACTTCAAATTGCAATCCTCAGATCTCAGCCTCATGAATAGCTACGATTATAAGTGTGAGCCACCAGCATCAGTTCTGTCTTATCAAGCCTTGAGTAATTCATTCATTGGCCATGGCTCACCCTGTGTGCCATCTTCTTCACAAAAAATTTCTATTACCAGCCCACATCTCTTGCCTGAATATTAGGCAAATACACCAAAGTGCTTTAAGTAGTTCAGCCACACTGAAGCCTGTGTGAATTCTAATTTGTCTGGACACTGCCACCCATCTACCTCTGTGGTTTCCTGCCGGAAACTTTTCCCTATTCTGATTACCCTCCCTTGTAACTCACTAAACCCTGCTCAAGTTTCACTGAGTACAGACAGCAGTGACAGCAACACCAGGACCTTTCCCAGCCTCTTGTCATACACGTGTGTGCCACATGGGCCAAGACAAGACTCTTCTGGCTAAGGACATCTCAAATGTATACTGATTCTCTTTGGAAGCTGAGGCAGAGATCCAGTGGGGGAATGCCAATTTCTAAGCTTCCAAGCTCCAGCTCCAGCTCCACCTTGGGACGGAGTTTTGAACAAGAAGAAATTACCAATCCTGAAGTGGTCATCGATATTGCCCACAAACACAGCTTCATAGTCCTCAGGTCTCTTCAGGTTGGGTGGTCTCTCCTCAGGATCGGATCCGTATTCTCCCTGAAACCTTTTCTTATTGCTTACGATTATTTTCTTCTTGCTGTCGCCCTCAAGGAGGCTGATGAACAGCTGCACCACCCGCAAGGCAGCTTCCCGGAAAGGCACCACAATCAGCACCTGCGGAGAGGGCCATGGCAGTCTTGGTGTGGGTAAAGAGAAGGACGTGCAACGCCAAAATCCTGGGCATGGGAGCAGACCCTGGCCAGGGTCCATGTTTGTGTCACTACCTTTTTTTCCGGTTGTGGGGCTTGAACTCTAGGCCCTGGCACCGTCCCTCAGCTCTTCAGCTCAAGGCTAGCACTCTATCACTGGAGCCACAGCGCCACTTCCGGTTCTCTAGTAGTTAATTGTGTATAAGAGTCTCATGGACTTTCTTGCACAGGCTGGCTTTGAATGGTGATCCTTAGATCTCAGCCGCCTGATTACAGATGGATTACAGATGTGACTGAGGGTGAATCACTTCTGAAACAGACCATCATTCAATGGAAAAAACAGGATTGTTTTCCTCCAGTTTTTGGTTTTTTTTGTACTGTTCCTGAGGCTTGAACACAGGGCCTGGGTGCTGTTCCTGAGGTTTTCTGCTCAAGGCTTGCACTCTATTACTTGAGTCACGGCTCTACATTGGGCTTTTTTTTTTTTAGATTAATTGGAGATAAGAATCTTACAGACTTTTCTACCTGGGCTGGCTTTGAACCACAATCCTACAGTGCCTGGCAGGCATTTTTTAAAGTTACTTTTTAGTTACTGGCAAGAACAAAGCCTTTTTAAAAGATGGTTAAGGGGCTGGGAAGTTGGCTCAGTGGTAGAGCGCTTGCCTTGCATGCCTGAGGTCCTGGGTTCGATTCCTCAGTACCACATAAGCAAAAAGAAAAAAAGCCGGAAGTGGTGCTGTGGCTCAAGTGGTAGAGTGCTAGCCTTGAGCTGAAGAGCTGAGGGACAGTGCCCAGGCCCAGAGTTCAGGCCCCACGACCGGACCCAAAAACAAAAACAAAAACAAAAAGATGGTTAAGAAATGGTTGACTTCTAACTATCTTATTGTTCACAATCCTATCAATGGACATAAACCCAGTTAAATCATGTCATTCACCATAATAAATGAGCTTCATGTATACTCTGCCTCTTATTTATCTATGAAATGCCACTAAATACAAACAGAAGACCTTGTAAATCTGATGTTTAAGACTCTGTAGTAGCTCCCTTGAAAAGCAATCAATCATCCAAAGGAATGATTCACTGAGGCATTGCAAGATTGGATGTCAAGATTTAAGAGAGCTGGATTACTATCCCAGCTCTAATATTAAATTACAGGGAAGGCTCTGTTTTCCCCAGCTAATCAACAAAGAGTTTGACTAAGTCTCTAAGAGCCACATCAATATTTAAATCCCAGAATCCTATTAAGCTCAATGAGAAAATCTAAAAGAAGAGTCTTTTCCAGTGTGGACTGATACAGACTAAGGCATCAACTAACAAGTCTAGCTCCACAGCACCATGAAAAATGTGGAAAGAGGCTTTTCTACTAAAGCCTCAAAGCCTATGTAGCAGTTTAGATGGTGAGAGAAGCCTTGATTCGAGTCCAAAGTGTGCTACTGCTACTACCCTAGTAGGGCTGTCTGTGAATCTGGGTCTCTGCCAATAGCTATGATATACAGAGACTATAAAAAGTTACATTAAGGTCTGAAAATTGTAAGGAAGAGATCTGCAATGGGGTGCTCTTTACGGATGTTCTGAGTTTATGTTTAAAAGAGCATCCTGGGGAGGAATAGGCAACAAGGCTGAGATCTGAGGATCATGGTTTAAAGCCAGCCCCAGCAGAAAAGTCTGTGACTCTGATCTCCAATAAACCACTCAGAAAACCAAAAAATGGCATTGTGGTAGAGCACTGGCCTTGAGCTGAAGAGCTGAGCAACAGTGCCCAGGCCAAGTTCAAGCCACACACCAACAAAGGAAAAAGATATTGTATTCATAAACTGCTTTGTTAGATAGTAACTCCTTTGTACAATTACTTGAGAGAGAGAGAGAGAGAGACACCTGAAGTATCTCTTTAGTTTGCACTGTCAGAAACTGCACTTCTCTGCTATTACACGGCCTACTCCAAGTGCTTACTTTTGGGTCCTTTCCATTATTCCAGTCAATGATCACTCACGTGTGTGCCAAGGGCCAGTACCTTGTAGCCTCCTTCTTGAGGATAAAGCTTCCCTGCTGCCACTTACCTTGGGCCTTGTTAGGCCTTGGTCTCTGAAGTCATCATCATCACCCACCCCAAGTTTCTGGCTTCGGCGTCTGCTGTTGTTGCCTAGCACCTGGGCATTGGCTTTGAGGACATGATTGATTGCATGCAAGCAGTACACGTGACGGATCTCTTCCCCGTTCTTCAGAGCCGTCCTCTCTGGGTAGAACAGGTCCCGGTAGGAATTCATAATTAAGAAGAGCTCTTTCTGGAGTGGGGTGAAGGAACCATTGGATTTTGGAGAGCCAGACAGGAACTGACTATTGGTCTTGGTCCAGGTGGATTCCAGAGGCTTTTGGAGATGAAGTGATTGTAAGTCAATATCCTTTGGAGGTTTAAATGTTTCCAACTTCTGAAACTTGGATGAAAAGACAAGCTGGCCCAGGATGGGCCACTAGGGAAGAGACAGATCAGGAGCTAAGTTACAAACGGGTAACATACCAACATGTACACAGTACTTTATAATGTACCAAGAACTTCTATGATTTAATGATCATCTCATTTAATCCTCTACAAACTGTGAAGTACGTGTTATGATACTCTTAGTCCAGTATAGGAAGTGCTGAGCTCAAAGAAGTGCTAGAAATTAAATGCTTTTTAACTTACATACTGTACAACAATTGAATATCAAAAGTTTAAACAAGTTTGATGCTTCCGAAAATGCAAAGAACTGTAAATAAAGAATGTAATTGAAAGTCATGCCTATAATACTATGTACTCAGGAGACTGAGATTCGAAGAACTTTAGCTTGACCAGCCCATGCAGAAAAGTTGTCTAGACTCCATCTGAATTAATGATCTCAAAGCTGGGTGGAGGCATGGTTCAAGAGATAGAGTGAAAAAAAAGAGATAGAGTGACAGCCTTGATCAAGCAAACCATGCAATTTTGAGGCCCTGAGTTCAAGCCTTTGTACTGACCAAAAAAAAGTAATTTATGTTTTTACATTTAAAAAATGGTGGGATCGCTGGGCACCAGTGGCTAACGCCTGTAATCCTACTCAGGAGGCTGAGATCTGAGGATCATGGTTCAAAGCCAACCCTGGTAGGAAAGTCCATGAAACTCTTATCTCAAACCACCAGAAAACCGGATGCGGTGCTGTAGCTCAAGTGGTAGAGCACTAGCCTTGAGCTGAAGAGCTGAGGGACAGCGCTCAGGCCCAGAGTTCAAGAAAAAGAAAAAGGTGGGATCCAGGGGCTGGGAAGGTAGCTCAGTGGTAGAGTGCTTGCCTTGCATGCATGAGGCCCTGGGTTCGATTCCTCAGCACCATATAAGCAGAAAAAGCCAGAAGTGGTGCTGTGGCTCAAGTGGTAGAATGCTAGCCTTGAGCTGAAGAGCTGAGGGACAGCGCCCAGGCCCTGAGTTCAGGCCCCATGACCAGCCCAAAAAAAAAAAATGGTGGGATCCAGATAAAGCTTACAAAAGAGGTAGAGAGCTTAAAACCCAAGGCTTGTGACTTTACATCCTGGTTTTTCATAGAAACCAGTCCTCCTTATGTAGATTTACAATACACACTAAGTATTAAAGGTTATGATGAGTTACAGATCAAGCACACTGCTTTATTTAGACCAGTTGTCCACATTTATCTGGCCATGAAACAATTTCCTTTTAATTTTTTCTTTTTTCTTATTTTTGAAACATACCAGAATAATTTTCAGGATATGAGTTTGGGCAATTTTTCACTTTAGCAATAAAATTGCTGACCTAAGAGTAGATTAACTTTAGTAACAAAGAGAAATGAACTAGTGATAGCTGTAAAAAATCTAGATAACCCTCCAGGGATTAAGGTCCAGTGAATAACCCATCTCAAAAAGTTCTAAGAGGGCTGGGAAGGTGGCTCAGTGGTAGACTGCTTGCCTTGCATGCATGAGGCCCTAGGTTCGATCCCTCAGCACTACATAAGAAAAAAGAAAAAAGCCAGAAGTGGCGTTGTGGCTCAAGTGGTAGAGCGCTACTTGAGCTGAAGAGCTGAGGGACAGCGCCCAGGCCCAGAGTTCAGGCCCCACGACTGGACCACCCCCCCCCCCCCCCAAAAAAAAAAACAACCTATATGATTCCATTTAGCTAACATTTTTTTGGTTTTTTGCCAGTCCTGGGGCTTGAACTCTGCGCCTAGGCACTGTCCCTGAGCTTCTTTTTGCTCAAGGCCAATGCTCTACCACTTGGGTCACAGTGCCACTTCCAGCTTTTTCTGGGTATGTGGTACTGAGGAATGGAACCCAGGACTTCATGCATGCAAGGCAAGCACTCTATCACTGAGCCACATTCCCAGCCCCTCACATTTTTTGATATAAATTTATAGGAATAGAGACCAGATTAGTAGGTTACCAGGGGTTGGACACGGAAAGGTATGCAGAGGTGGATGTGGTCTTAAGAGGGAAATGGATCCATATGGAGCTGGCAGACACAGAGTCCTGAACATGATAAAATTGTACAGAACTAAATACATACTGTTGAATACAAACAAAACTAGAGAAATCTGGTACTGATAATATAGTAAAGTAGTAGAGCACAAGTCTCTAGATTCTATCCAAACACTGCCAAAAACAACAAAAAGGAAAAACAAAAACCAGAGAAGTCTGAAAAAGACAAGTAGATGGCATCAATGTCCATTTTATTATTGTGATTTATTTCTGCTAGATGATATCATTGGGAGAAACAGTAAAGGGTACAAGAAATGCCTTTGGAAAACTTTTTTTTTTTTGGGTCCGGTCGTGGGGCCTGAACTCTTCAGCTCAAGGCTAGCGCTCTACCACTTGAGCCACAGCACCACTTCCGGCTTTTTTTTTTCTGCTTATGTGGTGTTGAGGAATTGAACTCAGGGCCTCAAGCATGCAAGGCGAGCACTCTACCACTGAGCCACCTTCCCAGCCCTGGATAACTTCTTATACCTATGTATCTGTAATTAATACCTCAAGAAAAATGTCCATCAATAAGAGGATGACTAACCTGATAAGCAGTATCAGTGATGACAACGGAGAAGCAAATACTTCTCACTAATTGAACAATTTAGTTGTGAATCTATCTCAAATAGTTCAAGGAAATGAACAATCCAAAAACCTGAAATGCTCCATAATACAACTTTATTGGTTTCAGATTCTCTCTTTCTTCCCTCCTCTCCTCCCTCCTTCTCTCTGTCTCTCTCTCTCTGGCTAACCAAGCAACACTTACTTTTAGCTGGTGGGTAGTTTTGGGATTTGTGGTAACAGCCTCAACTTCTTTTTCTTTCAGTTCTTTGTTTATGTGTTGCAGAAATGGATCTAATTTAGAATACAGAGTGTCAGCACACAGTGCAAATGGCAGGGGATTCCTAGTCTTCCCCTATGAATGAATACGCTGTTCTTCAAGGTGTCAACACATCCTTCTTGCCATCCACTTTCCCCAGATTCTAGGCCAGTCCAAAGCTTAATTGAAGAAGATTCTAACAGGTTTGTCTACCTAAAGCATTTCCAATCACCCTACTTCCCAGCTTTCCTTTTGAAGACACGTCTCCACCTGGAGTTCAGGGCACAATATGTTGTAACTTCAACTTCCAACTACATGGTCCTCAAATTCTTCTGTCTCTCAAGCCTTCTAACCAAAACTTCCAACTTCATTTTTACACATTCAATTAGTATGAATATAATGACTCCTGACAAATATCTCCCAGGATGTATTCTGTCAGCTACCCTCATCATTCTTTGCTGAAGTTCCTATCCTCCCTTCCTTGCCCCTCCTAACACACACACACACACACACACACACACGCATACACACGTGGAATCTCATCTGGAAGATGGCAAGATCCCTGGGGTCAGGTTCCACGACTGCCTGGTTTTGCACCATAAGACACTTTCTTCCCCACCTGGAGTTCAGGACACTACACATTGTAATTTTACCTTGTGAACTCCACGGTCCTCAACACTGGCTGATCACTGAAAATCCTAAAGTACCTTTGAGAAGTATAGCTTTCCAACTCTGTTTTTACTGCTGTTCCTCCCAGAACTGGAGACTATGTACAGATCAGTGCACAACCCCATGAAGCACTCGTGAATTCAAATCCCACATGCTGTGCTCTGACCTTGTGATGCTTTCAGAGAACAGCTGTCTCCACTTGGCTCCTCAAGAAAATTGGTTTCCAGGCTGAACAGCGACTCGTGTTTTGCATCTGTGAACTCCTCTGGGGATTTCTGTGATGTCCCAGGTGGCTCTCCTCCATCTTTTCCTTCGGTGTTACCAGATACAGCCACATCTATAATTTTGAGAAATAGTTTGTAAGGATTACTCATTAACATAATTATGATTCTTTTGATGTATGAACTGAAACTCTCTAGACTATTACAACATTGACAGTCATCCCCATTATTTATTTTTAAATAATCATTAAATAATTCAGGTGGAAGGCTCAGATGTCAACACTAAGCTTGATTACTGACTCAGTAGGATGGCTAATTCTGCAATATAGCTGGGTCACAGTGCTTGGATATTTGGTTGAATATTATTGGAGATGGTCCTGTAAGAATGTTTTTAGATAAGATTTATATATAAATTGATAGACTCTGTGTAAAGCAAGTGTTACTCTCCATAATATGGGTGGGCCTCACTCAATCTGAGGTTCTAAACAGAACCAAAAAAAGGTTGATCTCTTTTGAGCAGACTGGTAGAAACACCTTTGAAGCTCCTCAGAGACCGCTTGCCTACATGACTGTCCATGGACTTGAAATGTGACTCTTCCCTTAGCTTCAAGACTGCTAGCCATCCTCATCAAGTATTTGGTACCTGCCAAGCCTCCATAATCATATTCCTTAAAATATTTATTGTACATACAAACACATATCCTTCTACACACACACAAACATGATCTGTTTCTCTGGAGAACTTTAATGTACCTAGTTCTGGTAACTTCCTTTAAAATAGTATACAAGGATGAATCTGAAATGATGTTCAAAGCTGTACTCATTATGATCAGCAATGACTGGAAAAAATGGAAATGTCTACTAATGTCTACTAATAAATAGACAATGAATCACTTGGAACAGAGTACAGTATAATTAAGAAGTTAATAGCCAGGTGCCGGTAGCTCACACCTGTAATCCTAGCTACTAAAAGGGCTGATATCTGAGGATCTCAGTTTGAAGGCACCCTGGGCAGAAAAGTCTGTAAGATTCTTATTTCCAATGAACTACCCAAAAGCCAGAAGCAGTGCTGTGGCTCAAATAATAGAGTGTTATCCTTGAGTAAAAAAGCTCAGGGACAGCACCCAGGCCCTGAGTTCAAGCCCCAGGACTGGCATAAAAAAAAGAAGCTAGGGGATCTGGGAAGGTGATTCAGTGGTAGAGTGCTTGCCTTGCATGCCCGAGGCCCTAGGTTTGATTCCACAGCACATAAGCAAAAAAAGCCAGAAGTGGCGCTGTGGCTCAAGTGGTAGAGCGCTAGCCTTGAGCTGAAAAGCTGAGGGAAAGAGGGGAGGGGAAGGGGTGGAAGGAAAGGAGGTCGGGTGGAAAGAAAGGTGGGCATAATTTCATGTGCCAGTGATCCTAGCACCTGGGAGGCATAAGGAGAATCATTCAGTGTCTGAGGCAAAAACCTGAGACCCTCTCTCTGAAAAATAACTAATACAAAAAGGCTGGAGACATGGCTCAAGTGGCACAGCACCTACTGAGAAGGCACAAACCCTGAATCCAAGCCACGTAACTGCACCTACCAGCAGCAAAATGTAGATTCTCAAAAAGAGAGTTGTACTCAATATACATATCCACAAAAAGTTGAAAGTTATGGATGTAAAGTTAAAAATTGTTCATCTCAGGGTGGTAGAGATATAGGTTATAAAGGCTTTTAAATGTGTGTGTGTGTGTTTGTCAGTAATGGTGCTTGAACTTAGGGCCTTGCACTCACTCAGCTTGCTTGCATAGCTTTTACTTTAGCATTTGAGCCATGCTTCCAGCCCTGCTTGCTAGCTAATTGGAGTCTCTTGGGCTTTCTCTATCCAGGCTGGCTTTGAATCAAAACCATCCAAGTATCAGCCTCCTGAGTAGCTACAATAAGTGTGAACCACCAGCACCTCTTAAAATTCTGCAGTAAATACTACTTTTAGAATTTGCACAACAAAGTTTTCAGAACCAAACCCAAACTGAAGACCAAATCTGAGGCAATGAATTTTTATCCCAGAAAAACTAACTTGTTAAAATAAGAATGAGATGCCATACCTTAAAACATAGAGGGGGGAGAGGGGGGTGGGGAGGATTGGGTGGGGGGGGCGGGGGGAGGATGGGAAGGGATGGGAAGGGGAAACAAAGGAGGAGGCTACAATGCTTGATAAGAAATGTACTCATTATCTTGCCCATGTAATTGTAACCCCTCTGTACAGTATTTTCACAATAAAAAATAAATAAAAATTAGAAAAAAAAACAGAGAGAGGGAAAAGCTGATATAAGGAAAATAGACATTAGAAACTAAGATAGCAAGATGTAAAAAGTCACCCAGGTATATTCATTCTGGACTCTGAGCACAGATGAATCACAACATGGTGAGCAAATGATAGGCATAATTATTCTTACATGAATTCATATAATATTGAGACACAAGCCAGGCTCCAGTGGCTCACGCCTGTAATCCTAGCTACTCAGGAGGCTGAGATCTGAGGATCACAGTTCAAAGCCTGCCTGGGCAGGAAAAGTCCATGAGACTCTCATCTCCAATAAACGTGAAAACCGGAAGTGGTGCTGTGGCTCAAATGGCAGAACGCTAGCCTTGAGCTGAAGAGCTGAGACAAGTTCCCAGACCCAGAGTTCAAGCCCCACTACCCATAAAATAAATAAATAAATAAACAAACAAACATACTGAGGTTGTCTGATGTCTGGGATGCAGAACTAACAGCAGAAGAATAAGGTGGAACATTTTGGTGGTAATGGAAATATTCCATATTATTTGGATGGTAATAGCATAGGTGAATTAATTCACCCAAACTCATCAAATCATATGAAGTTAGAAACGTTTTATTGTATGTAAAACATAATTAATGAAATTGATTCTACAGTTAAAGACAGTGAGTCTGGGTGAGATGGAGTCCCTTTGAGCTTTTAATTCTAGATCTTTCCCAAAGTCTTCCCTAAACACCTTGGCAGTATGCCATCTCTTCAATACTGTCTATCGAGCTGTTGTTCCATGCAGATACAAATCTACTGCTTGAATACCTCTACATATTTCTGGTCTGTCTTCCATCAAACTTGGTTACCCCAAGGCGATAGGTAATTACCTCTTCAATATACTGAAAACCATGATGCTAGACTTATGTTCTTTCTGAGTGTCAGGGAACCTGATCAAATCCCTAAAATTGCACAAATAGTATTTCCGCAATTTTCTGGTATATATGCTCTTCATTCACAGCAGCTTCTCAAAATATAAGCAAACCAAACAAGGTTAAATTTCTGCTTTGTCTCCACAGGTTATCACTCAAGGAACACATGACACTTCACCCCTTGGGCACTGTGTCTATGACCCAATATGGATAATGTATCCATTAGCCACAACAAAACTTACTGTCCTGTATCTCAGCAGACTCTGCTTCTTCTTCCACACTGACATCACTCCCATCATCTTCATCATTCATGTCTGTCTCATCTACAACACCTTCTTCTTCCTCTTCTTCCTCCTCCTCTTCATCATCTTCCTCATCTTCCTCAGAAGCATTTGTTAATGTAGCAAGCAGTTTGTGGTATCCAGAAACTTGCTCTGGTTCACTGTCGGATTCGCTTTCAGAATTTGAAGTATCTGAGCTCTCTGGCTTAAAGGAAAATGGGAATTTTAAAAAAAGAAAAAAACTCTACTTTTCCTATTATCACCCTAAGATTATAATCAGAACAACATTGAGACTTCCTTAAATACAAAAGTTGTTCTGCAATTATGCGGCATCTCATCTACTCAACCAAGCCCAGAATTAAATTCACTTAAAACAGTTGAATCAAGTCACAGTTTTAGAAGATCTTATATCTTTGGGATACTAACAGTCTACATGAGAAGAAAACACTTTTTTTTTTCTTTTTGGTGTTGTGGGGCTTGAACTCAACCTGGGCGACGTCCCTCAGCTCTTCCTCTCAAGGCTAGCACTCTTACCACTAGAGCCACAGTACCACTTCTGGTTTCCTGAGTGGTTTATTGGAGATAAGAGTCTCACTGATTTTCCTGCATGGGCTGGCTTTGAACAAGATCCTCAGACATCAGCCTCCTGAGTAGCTAGGATTACAGGTGTGAGGCACCCGCATCCTGCTAAAACAGACTTTTAAAACATAAAGATTCACGCCATAATGAGACTTACGTTTCAGTCATTAGTCTATGTGTTTAAAAGAACAAGAGGAGCTTCTCTCTGTAATACAATGGGATCTTTGTTCATTTTGTGCTTTATTTCATTTTTTTTTTAAATGCTAAGCAAAATGCACCTAGAGCTCTCTGACAGGCCCTAACAGTCTCAGATCTTGGGGTAGTTTTCAGCTCTGGCTTCTGTATTATCACAATGGAATATTTATAGACACTTGCACATAAAACTAAGCAGTAGTACTAAAACAAAAGTTTGTACGTACTCAAGCTTTGTTTTTTATACATAAAGGTAACAACCCAGTTCCAACTAGTATAAAGGAGATACAGAGCATTACCAGGTGACAAATCTGTGGTTTTGCTTCCTTTCTGGAAACTCTGAAAAGAAACAAGTAATCCAACGGTCAAGTCAATAACTTGCAAATTAGTTTAAGGACATCACGTGACACACACAAACACACACACACACACACACACACACACACACACACACACACACCGGGTGACACAGTCGCTAACTCTCACCTAAAAGATTGCAACCTAGCAAACCGAAGTCCTCGGACTCACCCGCCCCGTTCCTCTCTTCTTTGAGACTAGGTCTCGCTAGGTAGCCCAGGCGGGCCTAAAAATCCCGGCTCCCCTGGAGCTGGAATTCCTGCGCTCCACCGCCGCCACGCCGGCTCTCCTACCAGCGTCTCCATTAGAGCCGTGCCCGGGACGGCAACTAAAGCCGCTCGCAGAGGCTGACACCGAGATCCCCGACGCTCACCACGGATCCGGGCATCCCCGGCCGAGGCCACGGCTGCGGTAACTGAAGGGCTCAGCCAACCATTCTAGAAGCGACCTGAGACCCCCATCCACACGCGATCGCGCGGGTCCTCCGGCCCGCCCCCCGGCCCGCAGAGCGCGGGTCCTCCCGGCAGGGACCCCCGGCTCCCCGCGGAAACCCGCCACGCGAGCCCGGGGCTGGCGGCGCCCCGCAGGCCCCGCCACGCCCCTCCTCCCTACCGGTCGTAGAAGGGATGCTCCTCGCCGAAATCGCGAAGATGCTTCTTCTGCTTTTTCGTCAGGGTACTGAGCAGCTGGTTCTGGCTCCGGCTTCGGCGTTTGCCCATGGCGAAGACGCCTGGAGCCGACAACCCGGTGCCACCGGGAAGTCAACACACGCACGTGGACTTCGCGGCAGCGGCGGCGCTTTACGGCGGAAGCCCCGTGCCGTAAAGCAGACCCGCTTTGCGACGTGACTGTACAACCGGGCGTGAGAACGGCTATAGGGGGATTCTGCCCCCTGCCGGGACTCTGCGAAAGCGCACGCGTGCTTGCGCATGCGCGCTCGCACAGGTGTCCTTGGAGCCCCAGAACTTGTTCAGCCCAGGCTTGCGGGAGGTGGGGTTTGGAAGGTAGGCGTCAGATAAGAGTTGGAATTTGCTTTGTGCCTCTCCTTTGGTTGTGGGAACCCACCTGCGTAAATACGTAGCTAACAGAAAGGATTCAGATCATACTATACCAAAAATTACCAACATCTAGGGTAGGTGTTATTTGGGGGGTGTGGGCATATCTCAAATGACGAATAGGTCTCGTGCATTAGCCTGATGTGGCCCGTCAGGAAGCAGGTGCATAGGAGATGAAAACCTCGGGCGATTTCTTCGAATAGAGTTAAAACCTCAGTACCCAACAAACAAAAAATACCCTAACTTTTTTCTAGTGTAAACACATGCTTTTACCCACTAGGATCTTAACACCTAGGTGTGTTACATGAAGAGCCAGGCCTCCTGTCACATTCCCTTTCTTACTCAGCTCCCACTTTGCTGTTTTGGAAGAGCCCCTGGAACAGAATCTTTTCTAAACATTCCTCATTTGACAAAAGTAGAAATACATCCAGAGAGGAAAAGAAACATCTTGTATACAGTTACCGAAATGGATCAAGATGTAGTTTTAAATGTTTGGGTTTAAGTGTGTGTAAATAATAGCCTAAAGAGGAGGAGGATGGAACTCGGTGGCATGAGACTTGTCTAGCATATGTGAGTCTCTGGGTTTGATCGCTGGCATGGCAGAAATTTAAATAAAGTGACTTTGGTAGTGTACTCTGGTAATCCAAGCATTCTAGAGGATCTCAATATTGAGACCAGGCTGGCCACGTGTCAAATTCTAATCTGGGCTTCCTAGCAAAACCTTGTTTTGAAAACAAATGAGAGAAAAGCAATAAACAAAACAAGAATTGGCCTCAGGACATATAGGGCTTGGAACCCCAGGAGTTGCCTTTAAGAGTAACTTAAATATCCCATAAAAACTAAGTCTCTAATTACTGATTACAACAATGCACTCAAATACTGAAGGTAAGGCAAGCCATAAAAGAGAGTGTTTATTCACACTCTTAAGGATGCTTCTGAGGAACATCACTACCATGCCACACCATGCATGGTGTAATAACATTTCTAGACTATTATTGTCAATTTAGGAGTATACACATACTTAAATTCTGAGAGGCCAGTGTGGAGAAGAGAGGACAGTGCATGAGAATATGTAAACATAAGCAAACAGGGCAAATAGTGCCTAGCAGCTGGCCCAGCCAAGGACTCTGTAAATAGACATCTGGCTTCAAGATACAAGATACAGTCACTTAGCTCCATAAAACGGCCGTTTGCAAAATGTCATCATGTAATTTTATGGCACGGATCACAGTACAACCTGATTATAACAATAAAGAACCATACTTTTTCCTTCTTTCACCATAGTCCAAGTACCTCAGCTTCCCTCTCCAGAAACAACAGTTGCTTTGTATTGTTCCAGAGATCTACACAAAGCTATATAGACTTTTGGGGCTGGGAAGGTGGCTCAGTGGTAGAATGCTTGCCCTGCATGCATGAGGCCCTGGGTTCGATTCCTCAGCACCACATAAGCAAAAAGAAAAAAGCCGGAAGTGGCGCTGTGGCTCAAGTGGTAGAGTGCTAGTCTTGAGCTGAAGAGCTGAGGGACAGCGCGTAGGCCCAGAGTTCAGGCCCCACGACCGGACCCAAAAAAAAAAAAAAAAAGCTATAGACTCTTGAGCACTCAAGTTAACTCTTATTCTCTTCTAGCTTCCACATTCTTGTCATCCAGTGTACAAGGGTAGATTGTTTTCAGGTTTAGGCCAAAAATGGACTCTTTCTGTCATCATTGGCTTACTGTGTAATAGAAAACAAGTCTCTTCTCTCCTCCAATATTTGTATTAGCCTTCAAGAATGTAAGACAGGCTCCTTTGTGAAAGTTTAACCCGTTAGCAAGAACTTAACCTTATTTTTTAAATTCTCATAGTGGGATTTCTTAGTTCGGTCCACACAAAGATTTATACCAAAATTGAGAACCCTGGGGCTGGGAAGGTGGCTCAGTGGTAGAGTGCTTGCCTTGCATGCTTGAGGCCCTGGGTCTGATTCCTCAGCACCACATAAGCAAAAAGAAAAAAGCTGGAAGTGGCGCTGTGGCTCAAGTGGTAGAGCGCTAGCCTTGAGCTAAAGAGCTGAGGGACAGCGACCAGGCCCAGAGTTCGGCCCCATGACCGGACCCAAAATTGAGAACCCTAAGGAAGTTGTGATAAAGACACAATTTCTTTTTCCCCTTTCTTCTTTCTACTCTCATTCCTCCCTTTATTTTTTCCTAAGGTTTTCTTTTAAACATCTACTCACAGATCTGCAGGGTTAAAGGTAGTCCAGGAAACAATCTTCTATACTAGTTTACAAAGGAAGGTTAATGGATTATGAAGTTACTTTTCCTGGGGTATTTGACTCATCTCAAGAGGTAAAAGATAGATAGTTTCCTTTGGGACAAGAATACCAGAATATTGGGGCTGGGAAGGTGGCTCAGTGGTAGAGCACTTGCCTTGCATGCTCGAGGCCCTGGGTTCGATCCTCAGCACACATAAGAAAAAAGCCGAAGTGGTGCTGTGGCTCAAGTGGTAGAGTGCTAGCCTTGAGCTGAAGAGCTGAGGGACAGCGCCCAGGCCCAGAGTTCAGGCCCATGACCGGACCCCCCCCCCCAAAAAAAAGAATACCAGAATATTGGGGAACCTCTTAATAATTTAAAAGAGAAACATATGGAAAACTTCAAGCACAATGTATGACAGACTAGACAAAATGGTATCATGAACTCCACATATCTGTTACTCAACTTTAATGATCAACTCAAGTTATGTTATGTTGTTCTAGATATATGTCTACCCACTCTTCCTGACTATGCATTATTATTACTATTATTATTATTATTATTATTTTCTCACTCATGGGGCTTGAACTCTGGATCTGGGTGCTGTCCCTCAGCTCTTCAGCTTAAGGCTAGCGCTCTACCACTTGAGCCACAGCACCACTGCCAGTTTTCTGAGTGGTTTATTGGAGACAAAAGTCTCACAGCCTTTCCTGCCTGGTCTGACTTTGAACTATGATCCTCAGATCTCAGCCCTCCTGAGTAGCTAGAATTACAGGCGTGAGCCACAAGTGTCCAGCTTGGTGGATTATTTTTTTAAACAAACCCCAGAAATTGTATCATTTCATCTCTAAATGGTTTAGTATACATATGTGAAAGAGAAGAATTCTTTCTAAACATAGCTATCTGGCTGTTATTTCACCTCAGACAACAATAGCTGGGTGTGGTGGTGCATACTTTTAGTACCAGTATTCACAAGTCTGAGACGGGAGATTTCAAGTCCAAGGCCATTCAGATCTACATAGACAGACTGCCCCCCCCCGCCCCAAAAAAGAAAGAAAAGAAAATAGTTTTTTTTCTTTTTCCCTATTTCTGCATTCTTTATCCAGTTATAATAAAAAGAAATCCTTTTTGAAGTAACAACTTAAATATTATTATCTATCCAGTCAATGGTCAGTTTGTTTGTTTTTTTGTTTTGTTTTGTTTTCTTTGTCAGTCATGGGGCTTGAACTCTGGGCTTGGGCACTGTCCTTGCTCTCTTCGGCGCAATGCAAGCACTCTACTGCTTGAGCCACAGCTCCACTTCCAGTTTTCTAGTGGTTTATTGGAGATATGAGTCTCACGGACTTTCCTGCCCGGGCTGGCTTTGAACCTCGATCCTCAGATCTCAGCTTCCTGAGTAGCTAGGATTACAGGCGTGAGCCACCGGCGCCCGGCTCAATGGTCAATTTTCTGATGATCCATGTCATCATTTTTTTTTTTTATTTTTTGTTGTTGTTCTGCTGTTCTGCATATTTCTCATGAATTGGTTGTTGGCTCTTGAAGTTGATCAGTCTTTGTAAGGGTTGGTATATTTACTTCATGAGGCATATGATGGCTGCTTTCCTTTCTTTTTGTGCTGTTACAAAAATCAACGCACAAAATCTTATTTCATTAATTCATGAATGCATGCTAATTCTGTCATAGGGTTTAAGGTTTTATCATTTCTTCACTTATTTGATACACTTCCCCTTACCTATATTTGGTAATGATACTGTTCATAAAAGAAAAATGCTTGATTCTTTTTCCTTACCAAAATTTAACTTAAGGAGTTAGGTGCCAAATCTTCTAATGATAACCAATCAAATTTATCTGTGTGTGTGTGTGTTAGAGAGAGAGAGAGAGAGAGAGAGAGAGAGAGTACTGAGGTTTAGATTCTAATCCTCACACTTGCTAATCTGTTGTTCTACCATTGAACTATACCTCTGGCCCTGTGGGGGGGTTTTTCCCTGGATATTTTTAGGATAGTGTTTCACTTTATACCAGTGCACTCCTGAGTTGCAATTCGCCTTCTTTTAGAGTTCTTTTTTTTTTTTGGTCAGTCATGGGGCTTGAACTCTGGGCCTGGGCGCTGTCCCTCAGCTCTTCAGCTCAAGGCGAGCGCTCTACCACTTGAGCTACAGCGCCACTTCTGGTTTTCTGGTGGTTTATTGGAGATAGGAGTCTCATGGTCTCTCCTGCCCGGGCTGGCTTTGAACCGCGATCCTCAGATCTCAGCCTCCTGAGTAGCTAGGATTACAGGCGTGAGCCACCAGCGCCGGCTCTTTTAGAGTTCTTGAAATCACTGGACCACAGGTTTGTACCACTGCATTCTGCTTCTCTCCATAGAGACAGTCTTGTAGGTAATTCTACTTGAGATGGTTTGATACTACAGTTTTCCTAATGTCAGCCTCCCTTGTAGCTTGGGATGACAGGTGTGTGCCACTGTGCCCAGCTATGCAGATTGAATAGGGGTCTGAAGAACTTTTGTGCCC